CTCCTATCCTTGTTAGTTTTGGCTGCTATTCTTTGTTCTCAGATGTATTACCTTGTATTTTGCTGTATTGAAACACATTTTGTGGGATTGAGGCACTTAACCTGGTGACTCAGATTGTGTTGTAACAGTATCTTGTCCTCGTTATTTGCTATCCCACCAATCTTTGTGTCCTCTGCAAATTTTATCAGCAAAGATTTTATATTATCATCTAGATCACTGATAAAGGTATTGAACAGTGTTCTACCAAGAACCGATCCCTAGGGGACTCCACTAGTAACTGCCCCACTTATTAATATCTACATATTCACTGATAGATCTCAAAGTTTAGCTGCTAAGTTTTTAATTCATGTAATATGTGCCCTGTTAGTTCCATATAAAGCAAGTTTTTAAAACAAAATGTCATGTGGTACTAAGTCAAATGTCTTATTAGTCCTAATATGATTAAAAATATCTTATTGGCTTTAACCCTATTGGCCATTGATATTTCATTGATTCTTTGTACTTATCAGTTGCCTGCATTTTTTAACTTTTAACTTTAATTTATTGCTATTAACTTCCCCTTTTTGTGGTCTTTATATATATATTTTTTTCATATTTTATTGCTGCTTTCACATCTCCTTTTAACCAAGATTGAATAGCGTAATTTTTTTCCAAGTTTGTGCAATTACGTTTTTTCAGGCATCTAGTAAGATGGCCATGTGTGATTCCCAATTTTTGTTAACACTTTCTGTCAGTTATGCTGACCAGTTGCTTTAAGATTTGGGTAACTGGCCCTTTTAAAGTTCCAAGTGTACACATTACTGGTAGGTGTGATATTCTGTGTGTAGTCTGGTAGGAGCGAGGTGGAGCATCTCTGGGCCTGATTTTAGTGTTTTACTGCTATTACAGTAGTACCCAGGGAACTCCAGTTAGAGATCAAGGCCTCATTGTAGTAGGCTCTGTACACAGCCCATAGAAAGGGGAGGGTGCACTGCTGTCCTGCCGCAGGAACAGCTAAAGGAAGGAATTGTGACTTTAGGGAGCCGTAACTACTGCCTGGTTTCCTCTTGTTCCAGATGGATAGTAATTTGCAGTTTCTTAGGCACTTATGTGGCCCCATTTGCTGTATTATGAGCCCCTTGCAATCTTTAATGTATTTATTCTCAACACCTCTGTGAGGTAAGGAAGTACTACAGGTCTGTCGCATCTTACGTGCATTTAACATGCGCTATTTCAGCTTTACGCGGTCGGCAAAAACAAAAAAAGGGAAAAATAACAATTTTAATACTGTACCTGTAGTGCGAGCGATTTCGCCTGCCATTCAACTCAATGTAATTTTGACTATACGCGGTTTTCGCTTTACGCACTAACTGCGGAACAGAACCCCCGTGTAAGATGAGACTCGCCTGTATTTACTTCCATTTTACAGATGGGGGACTGAGGCACAGAGAAGCTAAATTACTTGCTGTAGTCTGTGGAGGAGCAGGGATTTGAACTCAGGTTTCCTGAGTCCTGGGTTAGTGCCCTAGCCACTGGATGATCCTTCCTGAACTATAACAGAAGCAAATTACTAACCATACCCTGTGAGGCAGTGCTCAGATGGTGATCATATTGCATCTGGGGCCTCATCCATAATGAATTCACTGACGATTTGAGGACTGTTGACCACCAGTCTAGCACTGATGAACGTCAACTTAATTTTTTGGTGCTCGTTTGTGTCTTCATGGATGATGTCTGGCTATTGCAAATTGTAATCAGTTTGTTTCTGGATCTGTGCTGCTTTTTCCTGTGGGTATTCTGTGTTAGGAATTGTATAAGAGAGGGAAAGAGGCAGAAGATGAGCATATCTGCTAGTGACATTGAACCTAATATCAGAGGGGTAGCCGTGTTAGTCTGAATCTGTAAAAAGCAACAGAGGGTCCTGTGGCACCTTTGAGACTAACAGAAGTACCCTCTGTTGCATTGAACCTAATGTTTGTTAAAAGCTCTAGAGTTTCTGGACTGTGAAACTTCCATTCTTTAGAATGGATTTGCTGAGGAATAAGGTCTTTAAACGGTGATTTTTCCAAGTCACTAAAGGCTGGAAAAACTGCTACCCTATTAATCAAAGAACAAACTGCCTTGGTGTATGTAGCATTAATAAGACCAAAATGCTTTTAATGTGATATTGCCACAAGTTAATGTTGAAATTAACTAACTGCTGTTTTTCACTTAAGATGCTGAAAGTTGAATCCTGTGTCATTTGGCTTATTGGAAGACAGTAATGTAACCAAAACGTCTGTCTGCCCTTTTTCTCACCAGAATTCAATAATTGATGCTGGTCCCCTGCCGGGAGAGTTCATCTGAAGACTGCCCATGGACAATCGATGCTTGTGTTTGCTGAAGTTCTAGTATTCTTTTGTTTTACTGTTTAATTCACTGAAGAGTCCATTTTTTCCCATGAGTCATCTTCCACCTCTGGAAAGGTAGAGGTAAGTTTTCAGGTTTTTTTCTTTTTTTCTTGTTCTTTCTCCACCTCAGGTGAAAATTGTTTAAACCTGTCAGAGATGCCTTTTGCTGAGGCATCTCTAAATGTGGAACCAATCATTGGAACTGCTCAAAGCATTCTCTCTCTCCTCTGCATCCTAAGAGTTTGCTTTCCATGGGTCAGACGGGCAGCCAGTCTGTAGGGCATCGGCAGTTAAAAAATCTGCCTTAGAAGTCCATAAAGAAAAAAATTACTGCAAAACTAGACCCTATTGACTTGGTGTGCTTTAATGGCTAGTTGCTGCAATTGAAGAGTGGAGCATTGTGTAGGTGAAAACTACAACACGGTTCAAAAAAGAACTAGATAAGTTCATGGAGGATAGGCCCATCAATGGCTATTAGCCAGGATGGGCAGGGATGGTGTCCCTAGCCTCTGTTTGCAAGAAGCTGGGAATGGATGACAAGAGATGGATCACTTGATCATTACCAGTTCTGTTCATTCCCTCTGGGGCATCTGGCATTGGCCACTGTTGGAAGACAGGATACTGGGCTAGATGAACCTTTGTTCTGACCCAGTATGGCCATTCTTATGTTCTTGCGCATAGGCTACATACTCAAGACCGGTATGGTGGCTTTAATTAGTTAACATTACTCTTGTGGTTTGACCTGCAGCTTTCAGAGCTTCTCTATAGAAGACTTGAGCCCATAGTGTGTTTCCCAAGTCTCAAGATTGTGTGTTTAATGTCAGGGACTAAATCCAGTCTCTGGTGGAAGAACAGTCCAGTCAGTATCCTTGTAGCCCTTCCTAGCTGATATACGTAACGCTTGGACATTTCTATAGTTTGCTAGCAACCAGCTATATTTTAATTTGAAGAAAAATTGCTTTAATAGAGTGGGAGCTACACAGAACTGAAAAACTTAAATGAGCATAATGGTGAAAATACCAGGAGCTATAAACACCATCATCCTAACTTTAGATTTTAGTTCCTCCTGTGCCATTGACATATTGGGCGGTCCGATTCCTCCATTGACTAGTGGCTCGGTAATTGTGGTATTTCGTCCTCAGCAATGTCCACACCTTCAGTAACCTTTGTCACTGTCGTCTGCCAGTTCTTGTTTGGCCTACATCAATTTCTTTCCTACCCGGATACCCAATTCAATGCTTGCTTAGTTCATCTCCCATCTTCTATATGGTGTATGTGTCTCAACTGTCTGAGCTTTTTTCTTTGATATTTTCTAATACAACCTGCTCTGTCAGCTCCCTTACTCTCTCATTTGTTGTTTTGTCTTTCCATGAAATGTGTAGTATCTTCCTCCACCATCTCTGATGGGCAACTTCCAGGGTTTTTTTGTTAGCTCCTGTCTTCAACCAAGTCTCTGCCCTCTACAGTAGTGTACTCCGTACAATCGCATGGTATAATCTGACCTTTAGTTTCGTGTTGAGACCTTGGTTTGGACAGATGTTGTTCATCCTTCCAAAAGTGGTGGTCATTTTTCTTCATCTCATGTGAATATTTTCATCGCAGCCACCATCAAATATCATCACACTGTCCAGATCATAGAATCATAGAATATCAGGGTTGGAAGGGACCTCAGGAGGTCATCTAGTCCAACCCCCTGCTCAATCCCCAGGACCAATCCCCAACTAAATCATCCCAGCCAGGGCTTTGTCAAGCCAGGCCTTAAAAACCTCTAAGGATGGAGATTCCACCACCTCCCTAGGGAACCCATTCCAGTGCTTCACCACCCTCCTAGTGAAAAAGTTTTTCCTAATATCCAACCTAAACCTCCCCAACTGCAACTTGAGACCATTACTCCTTTTTCTGTCATCAGGTACCACTGAGAACAGTCTAGATCAGGGGTCGGCAACCTTTCAGAAGTGGTGTGCCGAGTCTTCATTTATTCACTCTAATTTAAGGTTTCGTGTGCCAGTAATATATTTTAATGTTTTTAGAAGGTCTCTTCCTCTAAGTCTATGATATATAACTAAAGTATTGTTGTATGTAAAGTAAATAAGGTTTTTAAAATGTTTAAGAAGCTTCATTTAAAATTAAATTAAAATGCAGAGCCCCCCTGACCGGTGGCCAGGACCCGGGCTGCGTGAGTGCCACTGAAAATCAGCTTGCGTGCCGCCTTCGGCACACGTGCCATAGGTTGCCTACCCCTGGTCTAGATTCATCTCCTTTGGAACCCCCTTTCAGGTAGTTGAAAGCAGCTATTAAATCCCCCCTCATTCTTCTCTTCTGCAGACTAACTAATCCCAGTTCCCTCAACCTCTCCTCATAAGTCATGTGCTCCAGTCCCCTAATCATTTTTGTTGCCCTCCGCTGGACTCTTTCCAATTTTTCCACATCCTTCTTGTAGTGTGGGGCCCAAAACTGGACACAGTACACCAGATGAGGCCTCACCAATGTCGAATAGAAGAGAATGATCATGTCCCTTGATCTGTTGGCAATGCCCCTACTTATACAGCCCAAAATGCCGTTAGCCTTCTTGGCAACAAGGGCACACTGTTGACTCATATCCAGCTTCTCGTCCACTGTAACCCCTAGGTCCTTTTCTGCAGAACTGCTGCCTAGCCATTCGGTCCCTAGTCTGTAACAGTGCATGGGATTCTTCCGTCCTAAGTGCAGGACTCTGCACTTGTCCTTGTTGAACCTCATCAGGTTTCTTTTGGCCCAATCGTCTAATTTGTCTAGGTCCCTCTGTATCCTATCCCTACCCTCCAGCGTATCTACCACTCCTCCCAGTTTAGTATCATCTGCAAACTTGCTGAGAGTGCAGTCCACGCCATCCTCCAGATCATTAATGAAGATATTGAACAAAACCGGCCCCAGGACTGACCCCTGGGGCACTCCACTTGAAACCAGCTGCCAACTAGACATGGAGCCGTTGATCAGTACCTGTTGAGCCCGACGATCTAGCCAGCTTCCTATCCACCTTATAGTCCATTCATCCAGCCCATACTTCTTTAACTTGCTGGCAAGAATACTGTGGGAGACTGTATCGAAAGCTTTGCTAAAGTCAAGGAATAACACATCCACTGCTTTCCCCTCATCCACAGAGTCAGTTATCTCCTCATAGAAGGCAATTAGATTAGTCAGGCATGACTTGCCCTTGGTGAGTCCATGCTGACTGTTCCTGATCACTTTCCTCTCCTCTAAGTGCTTCAGAATTGATTCCTTGAGGACCTGCTCCATGATTTTTCCAGGGACTGAGGTGAGGCTGACTGGCCTGTAGTTCCCCGGATCCTCCTCCTTCCCTTTTTTAAAGATGGGCACTACATTAGCCTTTTTCCAGTCATCCGGGACCTTCCCTGATCGCCATGAGTTTTCAAAGGTAATGGCCAATGGCTCTGCAATCACATCCGCCAGCTCCTTTAGCACCCTTGGATGCAGCGCATCCAGCCCCATGGACTTGTGCATGTCCAGTTTTTC